CTCATCCCGCCGGGGACGCGGCGCTCCGCGGGCGCGCAGCCGGGAGGGCAGGGGGCGCGCGCCCTGGGGAGCTGTCCCCCAAGCGGCCCCTGGCTTAGGGAGGTGGGGGCCGTCGCTGTCACCCGTGGGCGCAAGGGATTTATTGGAACCATCAACTTGTAGAAAGAAGGAAGAACTTTCTCCCCTTAATGCAGGAACGCGTGACATTTAAAATAGGCTATTTTTCTCTATGGTATAGACATTGTAACTTAAAATCATGTTTTTATAAGATTCATGGAAAAAATAGGAAGTATTGAATTTTGGCTGGAGGCAATGGACGGATTTTTTGCTCTAGGACTCTAAGAATATTTAGTACCTTAGTAGCTTAGGGTGTTTCTAATGAAGAAAAATGGGTATAAAGATTACACTTTTATAACCAACTCCTTTATTTATAGAATTTATATTTAATAGAAGTTCAAAAGGTCCTGTTTATTTCCACATTGTAGGGAGTAGCACTTTTCCATGTTTTTCAGTTAAAATTTCTTAGCCCTATTGGGGACATAATAATATTAAGACGGAAAGGAAATTACTTGATTGAGGAGAAAAAAAAAGATATGAAAACTCGAATAACAGAGTAGCATGCCCCTCGCCCCAACCACATAGGCTCCTCAGGGGTGGTTTTTGGTCCCATCCTTATTAAAAGTCTCCATCTAGAGCCCATGTAACCCAACAGGAGCTCTGACTTGCCTCCTCAGCACACTCTGCGTTCATTCATTTGCGCAGCAAACGTTTGTTTGGTCTGTCGAGCTGCGGAGCACCAGATGCTGGGGCAGGTACTGAGAACCATGTGGCAAGATCCCTGGGCTGTCACTCTGGAGGGAGCTCCAGCTCTGACCTTCCCAGGAAACCCGCATAAACTCCATTCAGCTTAATGGGATTCCTTCTTCCAAATACGGGGCCTGTTGTCTGTTCCATTCATTTGTTACTGTTACATATGCTACATGGCTATTATTTCTTCTCTCTATATGAAGATTTTTGGATTTGCAGATGCTTTAAACAGATCATTTTATCCAGTCTGCTTTGCCATCCCAACTGTTAAGCAGAGTACTTGCCATTTCATAGATGAGGAGACAGGCTCAGGGACCTTCAGTTGCAGAGCCATGATTGGCTTGGGGTCTACAGTAATGTCCACGGCCAGCATTGTTTATATAACAACCTGTTTCCACAAATCAATGGTAAAATATTTGAAGTCAGGGATTAATTTTGTCTCAGCAACCATTTTAGTGCTTACTTAAGGGTGAGGTATATAGTTTGCAAGTCTGTTTTGTTTTTTTTAAATATGTTTTTTATTGATTTCAGAGAGAGGAAGGGAGAGGGGGAGAGAGAGAGAGATAGAAACATCAATGATGAGAGAGTCATTGATTGGCTGCCTCCTGCACACCCCCCACTGGGGATCGAACCAGCAACCCAGGCATGTGCCCTGACCGGGAATCGAACCGAGATCTCCTGGATCATAGGTTGGTGCTCAACCGCTGAGCCACGCCAGCTGGGCGCAGGTCTGGTGTTTAATAGTTACATAATGATTATGCCTTTGCGCATGTGCTTATGTAGGCCTGTCAACACCCTAATATGATTTAAATGTGATGCCTAAGTTTCTGATACAGCAATTTGTGTGTGTGTGTCTGTACTGTTTCTCTTGTTAGACACTTTAAAACACTAGGTCACTTATGGACATTTGCCCAGTTCTGGATTTGGTTTCATTATACTCTCCTTGCACCACTCACTGTAGTCACACCTCTAACTTCCTGTTAACTAGAAATATGACTTAGAAATTTAAGTACATTCTTTTTTTTCCCCAAGTATAATTTATAAGAAAAAGCATTTGACAAAATCGAGCACCATTTATGATAAAAACTATCAGCAAAGTGGGACTAGAGGGAACACAGCTCTGCCTAATAAAGGCCAGATATGGCAAGTCCACAGCCAACATTATATTCAACAGTGAAAAGCTAGAAGCGTTTTCTTTAAGATTAGGAACAAGACAAGAATGTCCACTTTCACCACTTTTATTCAACATAGTGTTGGAAGTCTTAGTGTCTTAGTGACAGCAATCAGACCAAAAAAAAAAAAGAAATAAAAGGCATCCAAATTGGAAAGTAAGAAATAAAACTATCATTTTTTGCAGACAACATGGTGCTCCACGTGGAGAATCCTGAAGAGTTCACCAAAAACGATTAAAATTGATAAATAAATTCAGTAAAGTAGCAG